TGCACATATTTTTATTAGTATTTCTATGTCTTATAATATCAAGCAACTTGTAAAACAACCAATCAATAAAGTATTCCTGATATCTGATATATCTGATTGATCACAGAAGCAGGGTTGAGTTGATCCAGTAAAAATGAACACATCCAGGACGATTAGTCTGCGGATTAGATTCATAAAATCCTCTGCAACCTTGATCCGTCATTCATCACAACACAACAGACCTATGGAAGATTTAAAAGCCCCTTTTTTACTGATTGGTGTTAATTAAAATGATGGCAGACATTTTGTGTGTCGTAATTCTTAATGGCTGCAATACAACAACTGCTGGAAGGGCGCCATCATTAATGTCAGAACGCTTGCTGTGAAAAAGGTCTATGAGTCTTTTGGTACATTTTACCAGATGAAGTAGAAGTTTAAAAGACTTTTGAAAGGGAAGTAAATAAAAAAATAGTGACGCTCATCAGTCGAATACAAAGTACACGTCTTGCTCTACACAGTTATGTATTTTGGCTCAAGTTTGGGCAAAATGTAACTGATTATACCAGAAATAATTGTTATAAATGTTAATTATAATGTTATAGTTTACTGATTCTTTCACATAAGCAGGAACAAAGACACTGAGGAACCAAACAGCTGCGTTTGTGCATCATGATCTTTATTAAATTTCATGTGTTAAACTCTAACAGTGAACATTTCAGTCCTCTTGTGCTAGAATAATATTAGTGTCTAATAACGGTCCAGTAGCATCACAACCATATTGCTTCCAAATTTTCTAACAGCATAAACATTAGTTTTCCATTAACATCAGATTATCGTCTGTAATAAACTGCGGAATGAAATTTCAGAAAACACACGTGTGCGCAAAACTGCACATAACAATTCTGATCAAAAAATAAACATTACATTCATATATGTCTGTAACAGTGTCATAAATACACGTTTCTTCATGTATTTATTACAGCATTACACAACTTTAAGGAGCTGCATGCCTCTTGGTTCACTTATCACTGCGACCTGACATGAAAACAGGAAGATGTTTGTTGCTGAAAAACAAATATTGAGTGCAGGAACAAGGATTTGTGAAAGCAATACTAATATCAGATCCTTCCTCATTAATATTGGCCAATATCAGCAGGTGTTTTTGTGAGAGTCGTACAAATTCAGGAACATCCTGTCATTTCCTGTCCTTTAAAATAACCACTATCAAGCAGTTATTTCTATAACGGGAGTAGAAATTGCCAGAACAGTCAGTAAAAGAACGTTTAAGTGTCCATCCTTCGGTCTCAGACCACAGACGTGGTGCTCTCCGGGTTGATTCGAACCGGCCTGGTGCTCTTCCTCAGGTCCTGCAGCTGCTTGGCCGGCTTCCCCACGCCCTCCTCGAACCTCCGCTCCACCACCGGCAGCACGGTGTCGTGGAGGAAGGAGGCGTTCTGCACGACGAAGGCCTTCTTCTCCGGGTCCTGCTCGCAGCGGAGGCTGTAGTCCACGTGCTGCACGGCCACCAGGATGATCTCCCTCAGGCTCTCCAGCAGCACCATGTGCAGCTCGGGGAAGTAGAGCTTCAGGCCCTCCTCCAGGAAGCTCATCATCTGCTTGGTGAAGGCCACGATGGTGTAGCTCAGGTTCACCCAGCAGTCGTCGCCGGTGTACTGCTCGAAGGTGCCGACGCCACAGCTGCGCATCTCGTCCTGCCGGGAAAAGGATGAACATAGAGAAGCTTCAGCTGCTGATTTAACTCACAGTTTCCAGTACGTCTAAAAATCTGGTGCTGCTCTCCACCGGCCTCTCGGAAGATTTAGGATTCATTTTAAAGCCCTCCTTATATACGAAGGTCTTAATGGGCTCAAAGCTACAAGAACTCCCTTCTTCACTATTTGCCTTCAAGAGCACCGCGATCATCCGCTGCTGGTTTACTGGAAGTTCAAACTATAGATAGAACTATAGATAGATAGCTTGCTTAAAGGAAATCTAAAAACATATCTCTTCACTTTAGCCGTTATGACTTTCCTGATCAGGGCTGAAACTCTTTTTTGCTTCGCACTATAAAATGTTATACTTTACTTGATTTTATGTATTTTTTAAAGGTTAGAATTATTCAGCGGGTCTTATTTTCCATTAATTATGACATTGTATCCCTGTTTTATGGTAATTATGTCTTTAATCACGTGAAGCTCTCAGTGCATGTGAATTATTTTGTTCTAAAGTACTGCATTTGTTGTATAAAAGTTAAAAAAAAAAGATTATTATTATTATTAACATAATTTTAGCACAGATTACTTTTCCATTAGCGTGTTTGGTTTTCCTGATGAATGACTTAAACAACCATTAAAAATGTTTGCTGATTCATTTTTGGTCGATTAATTAAACAATAAATCCACTTTTGTAACTTCATCAACAGATGAACTGAAGGAAAACAAAGTCCCCGTAAACACCAAACACACACTACAGAAGAGCCGAACCCACCTTGAGTTTTGTCAGAGCTTCCGGGGTCATGAGGTTCATCCTCCTCCACATCTCCTCTGAGTTTCGGTGCTTGGTGGCCTCCATGATGATGTCCTTGTAGCTCAGCAGGGCCGCCTTGATGTCTTTGACCAGCAGCGACTGCAGGCTGAAGGTCAGGTCCAGGCCGATCTCCGTCAGCTGCCGACAGTGCTCCTTCGCCACTTTAACGCACTCCGCTGCCGTCGACAGGCTCTCCTTACTGTCAAACACCTGATCCAGAAGAAAAACGCTTTATTGGGATATTTGTTTTACAGTTTCACAACCTTTAAAAGGTATCCGAAGTTCTCCTCCCACCTACCTGCTTGCTGAAGGCGTTCACAAACATCCTCATGGCCGTTCGGGACCAGACCACGAAGGCGGAGTAGCAGCCCGTGTTCCCGGCGAAGTCCATCTCAAACTCCTTGGCCGTCTCCAGCAGGCTGGTGAAGAAGATGTTGCAGAGTTTGTGGATGTAGAGCAGCGTGGCGCCTTCGATCCGAAGCTGCCGTATGGCCGTCTGCACCGCCGCCGCGCGGTTCTTCAGGAACAGATCGCAGGCTTTGGTGGACTGACCTGCAACACGGTGGAACAACAGGTATTCGGTTTAATACACTCACTTTCACAACCTCCAGGGTCAAAACCTGAAAGAACTTGTTCGCTCCAAATGGATTTAACTACTCCGTGTACATAAAATGTGTGCGGGAGGTGAATGAGAAACACTCCTGGACCTAGTCTGATGAGCTGGGACACGGCCCGCCTGGTGGCTTTAGGTCCACCACGCAGCGAGCGATCCGGAGACAACTCGAACACCAGAACCTCCGTCAGCTGCCGCACGCGCTCGTCCACCTTCAGCCGCAGCTCCTTGACCCTCTGGGTGACCGGCTGGTCCTTCAGATACCCGTTGAGCTTGTCCAGCAGGTCCACGGCGCCCTCGAAGTCTCTCTGGGCGATGCAGACGTCCAGGTCCTCCGGCAGCTCCTGGATCCAATCGAGGCTGAGGTCCACGTTCTCCTCGGCGTCCGCGGGCTCGTCGTCTTCCACGTCGAAAGGGTTGGTGGACGCCTCGACCCTGACGGGAGACGCGGGGACCTCCTCCTCCTTTTTGTGCCGGTCCTTGGTGACTTTGTTCTTCTTGGTCTCGTCCAGGATCTCCAGCCACTCCTTCTTGATCTTGCTGTTCTCCGCCTGGAAGATGCGGCTGTCCGGGAACATGAGGATCTTGAACATGTCCTTCATGGGGGGGTTGTCCTTCACGTTGACCACGGCGAAGCTCTCCAGGTCGTACAGCGCGTTGTACTTGTACTTCACGGTTCCCCTGCGGTTCGGCAGCCAGGTGGCGATCAACAGACAGTCGTTCATCAGGAAAGCGTGCACCTTCTGGATGGGCGACATGTTGTCCACGTCGAACTCCACCAGGTCCCCATTGTAGACCAGGTGCCTCCCCGGGGTGTCCATGATGTTCTTACCCCCCTCCACTTTCTCCAGCAGGGAGGTGAGCGTCCTCTGCTTCACCTCCTCGGTCTCCTTGGGGAAAGCAGCCTGCATCTCCTTGGAGGTCTCGTCCTTGTCCGTGGACAGCAGGGCCTGCGTGATGCTCTCCATGATGCTCTTCTGCTCGGTGAGGATGTGACTCAGCTGGTACATCTCGCTCTCCAGGTACGAGATCTCCTTGGCCGTCTCGATGAACTGCCTGTAGTTCTTGTAGACGTTTTTCTTCAGGTTCTGGGCCGTTTCGTCGGCCAGGTTCTGGATCTTCTGGCGGTGCTCCTGCAGGTCTCGGTCTCCATCGGACTGCTGGGACAGCTGCTTCACGTAGTTCTGCGGCTCGAAGTTCGGGGATTCGAGCAGCTTCCGTAGTCGGTTCCCCGTTTCTGACATCTTGCGTTTGTTTGTTGGTGATTTGGTGATAAATGTGCACAGAGGAAGAGATCTTACAGGCTTTCTTACAGGCTTTCTTGGTTCATTTCCGCTTGCAAACAGGAACCTGCAGCCTGGTTGACACCCTGGGACGTCACGGGAGACAGGAAAAATAGTTGGCCTTCAAATCGAATAATAACAAACACATTTAAATGCAGTTTGGTCGCTTATAGGAGTCAGGATCGATATTTTATTATAGTATTTACAATATAAACGCCACGTTTGGTGCTAATTTTCATTAATCTAATCGTTAAACTACAGAAACAAACCTCCCCGTGTTGGTTTTAGACTGGCCAACTACTTTAAATGAATAAAACTACAAATCCCAGAATGCCTTTCTACGGTTTCAAACGATGTGTCAAGTTTGCGAGTTACTCAACGCTAGAGCGGAAACCAAAGTGGCATTACAAGAGTAAAATATTCCAATAATCAGATAACATTAGTACATGCTGCAGAACACAAACATAACAGTGCTTATTATTTCAAATATACTTTAAAACGTTTTAAAAAGGGCTACTTCTGCTCTATAAAGGTGGCCACTGTTGTTTTTTTTCGGACGTTTTCTTTTTATTTATTTTATTTTGAAATCCGTAACGGATATGATTCGGTCGTTTTGAGAGAACGTCAAACTTGACGCTGAGCCGTCGGCAAACACCAACATGAAGATATTAACGTTTTTACCGAAATCATGACACAAATCCGACTATTTTCCGCGGATGTTAAGTTTTTTAGACTTTATCCCGGCTCCGGTGATTCTGTCACTAGTTTAACTAACTAACCACCGTCGACTAAACGCTACTAGTCAGCCAGTTATCTCCGTGTTTGTGCAGGAATGGAGGAGGATTTCCTGCTCGCCGTGCAGCTCCAGCAGCAGTTCAACAGCGAATACGAGCAGCTTTCGTTCCCGTCGGACGGACCAAGCGGTAAGAAACGGAGGCTGGAGGGAACCGGAGGAGGAACCGGAGGAGGAGGCGGCGCTGTGCCCTCCTGGAAGCCGGCCGTCCGAGCCGAGAGGCCGCTGTCCATCGTGGATGAGTCCTGGGAGATGCTGGACCCGCACCCCGACATCAGAGCCATGTTTCTGGAGTTCAACGCCTCCTTCTTCTGGGGGAAACTCAGCGGGGTGGAGGTGAAGTGGAGCCCGAGGATGACTCTGTAGGTCTGCGGGGGTTTCAGGGGGTGGTGTTGTTGTTGTTGTTGTGTTGTGTTGTTGTTGATTTTCATGTGCTTAACTGCGGAAATAGCAGTGGTCAGGATTTAGACATGGGCACTGCAGGTATGGAAGCGCACATGTGCAGTGTTGAAGAGGGAGACACCGGGTTATTCAAAGTATAATCCTATCAGATTATAACACTTTATTAAAATAAATAAAAAATAAAGACGCTTCGAATCATTTTAAACTAAATAACACTTATAAATAAAGATTAAGTATCCTTAAAAATATAAACTTATTAGAATAAAAAAAAAATAAATGATCTGGTATATATCTTAAATTAGCTATGATAAAACTTTATTGAAATATAAATGTATGGTATAATTTTAAAAAAATATACAACTTATCAAGAATAAAGATCATTGATATCTTAAAATAATATACTATTAAATATATGCTAAGAATTCATCTATCATAATATATACATAATAATAAATCTTATTTCCATTCATAATATTTTTAAATACATTAAACTTTATTAATATCAAGACTTCAACTATCTTAAAAAAATAAACTTTATTAAAGAGTAAATTAAGAAAATAAAGAGCGTTAATATCTTAAACATTAATTTATACAGATTATTTAAATAAAAGGACATTGAGGAGGGTTTGCTATATAAAGTTATTAACAATTAAAAGATCTTTCTTAACATTTAAAATAATCTAAACCTTTCTTAAAATAAAGACTTATATCTTAAAGCATAATTATCAAACTTTTATTTAAGACATAAAAGACTTGATAACTTAACAATAATTATAAAAACTTTTATGCACAATAACAGACATAATATTTTTTCTTTAACACATAATTGATTAAAACTTTTATTAAAATAAATGACATAATATCTCAAACATATCTATGATATTACTAAACTCATATGCCGTTATCTATCTCAAAATAAAGAGAAACTTTCTCGTTCTGAGTGAAAATATAAATAAGTGTCTCATTAAAATGACTTTCGGGATCTTTTTTCCATCACAGTGGCAGAAACTTCCACAGATGATCCTCTCAGTGTGGTTTTCTGTGCGTCCTGTATAACACACACATATATATTTATAATAACGTCTCCTCCTGTTTCTCTCGTAGGTGTGCCGGTGTCTGTTCCTACGAGGGTCGAGGTGGACTGTGTTCAATCCGACTCAGCGAGCCTCTGCTGAAGCTCCGCCCGAGGAAAGACCTGGTGCAGGTGAGGCGGATCGATACGCCGATCTCGCTTTGTCAGAATCGTTTTATTAACTTCCTCTCTTACAAATATTATCTAAAATACTTCAATCGGCCGTAAAGAGAAACAACATAACCCTTTTTGTTTCCACAGACTCTCCTTCACGAGATGATTCACGCGCTGCTGTTCGTGACCCAGAACAACAGAGACCGAGACGGCCACGGCCCCGAGTTCTGCAAGCACATGAACCGGATCAACGACGCCACCGGGACCAGGATTTCTGTAGGTGTTTCCCCGGTCGCACGGTTTATGTGTTCAGCCGATCCCGTCGCAGCCTTTCACTCTGAAACGTCCTCTCCTCAGGTCTACCACAGTTTCCACGACGAGGTCGACGTGTACCGGCAGCACTGGTGGAAATGCAACGGGCCCTGCCAGAACCGCAAGCCCTACTTTGGCTTCGTGAAGAGGGCCATGAACCGGGCTCCGTCCTCCCAGGACCCCTGGTGGGAGGACCACAGGAGGACGTGTGGGGGGACGTACACCAAGGTCAAAGAGCCGGAGGGATACGGCAAAAAAGGCAAGAAGGATGGAAAAAAGGACGGGAAGCCCTCGGAGAAGAAGAACCCGGGAAATGGAAAACCTTCAAGTACGACTCCAGGTCAAGAAGTTCTTCGTTTTCTGTGTCCTTTCACTGTTTAAGATGATAATAATTCATTCTCCCATCAGACTCTGACTTTGTTCCTTTTTCCCTCTCAGCTTCCGGATCACAGGACATCAGGAACATCATCCCGTTTAGCGGCAAAGGCTTCCTGCTCGGAGGGAATTCCCAGTCCTCTACGTCTTCCTCCCCGTCTCACAAACCCGTCGCGCCCGCCTCGTCCAGCCCCGCCGCCTCTTCCTCTCCGAAGAAACCCTTCACCCCGTCGTCTCCAGCTCAAACGCTCACTTCTCCCGTTCGCGCCGGCGTCCCTCGCGCCTTTCCCTCCGCGGGATCGAAGCCACCCGTAAAGAGGTCCGTCGGTAACACCAGATACTTCGTCAGCATCAACGGCTCGCCGGTGAGAATCCCCAAACCCCACAGCGGCGGCGGCGGCCAGGAAGCAAATAAAATCAGACAGCGGTCCATTGAAGACGTCTTCAACAGCGCAAACCGCAGGAAGTCAGCGAGTCAGTCGTCCCCGTCCAACACAGACGGAAACAGAGATTCACTGACTGCTTCTTCTGCTTCTTCCTTCTTTCCTAAACCGCAAAGTAACCGCTCCTCTTCCTCTCCGACAGTGCCGAGTTCTTCTGTAGTAACAGGAAGCAAAGGCAGCCCCGCTCGACCAACGCAGTCCAAGTATTTCAGCGACTCTAGCGGCGCCGGTGCGACGGGAGCTGCTGGTGGCGGCCCGGCGTCGAGGAAGAGGCCGTGGGACGACCGCAGCAGCTCAGCCGCCATCTTCAGCTTCTTCCAGAAGACGTTAGGCGGCGCTACGGCGGCGTCGAGGGAGTCACAGAGGACAGAACCACCTGCCACCTCCTCGTCCTCCTCCTCCTCCTCTTCCTCCTCCTCCTCGTCCTCCTCTGCGCTGACGGTCAGCTGCCCGGTGTGCCAGGCAAAGGTGCCGGAGTCAAAGATCAACGAGCACCTCGACTCCTGTCTCTCCTGAACGAGGACGACTGGGAGACAGAAACACTTCCGCCTCCGTCCACAGGGGGCCGCCAGAATCGACCCGATGAAAGCTGCTCGTTGCTGTTTGGACTTTGATTTGAAGAAGACGGTTTGACTTCTGGTCGTGGTTGTCTCTGTTACCTCACTGTAATAATGGTCGCTCTCCTCTCACGAGGGCCTGTGTGACAGTTTGTGCCTTACACTCAGAGAACAGCAGCGCTTAACAGAGCGGAGAATTTAAACTGACTTTAACTCGAGTTAACTGTCATCTTATCAGGAAAAACAAACTTTTAAACTTTTAAACTTTAAATTGTGTTAGTGTCTGGTTGCAGGTTTGTGTATTTGACCAGAAACTGAATCATTCTTGTTTTAAACTGTGTTGAATATTTAAAGAATGACATCCTCTTCCCCTGCTGCTGTCCTTTAAATAGCAGCTGATTGATCAGCGTGCTGTGAAAGCAATATATCCAGACGCTGCTGCCTTGTGATGGAGGATATTTCTGCCTCCTCTCTGGGGGGGTCGGATGGGTTGGCTGGTTCCTGTAGCTCCATCGATCCCCCCTCCCCCCCTCCCTCAAAATCTGCATCTGCCCTTCAGACAGCAGGAGACACTGCCTGACCTCAGCTGATCTGTGGGAATCTGGTTTCACACTTCACAGCTATTTATTTCTGCGCAGTCAGTCCACAGCCGGCTGCTGCAGCGTCGGGCAGCGAGCAGGTATCTGATTGTGCCTCAGTAACACACTGACGTTACTGATGTGCTTCAGCTGTTTAACTTTATGTCTGCACCACTTTTTACACGTGTCTGTTTTTAAATTAAAGTTCTGAATATGTTTGTGTTCTGTTGCCAAATAAAACATTTGTACTGTCGTATTTGCTTTGATATTTTGTTTTAAATCAGCTTTTCTGTCAGTGTCTAACAATGAATCATCAGAATAAAAGTTAAATTATGAAACTATCCATCTAAATAATGAGTATGGAATAATAGAAAGAAAGAAATCAGATTTAAAAAAGGCAGTGTTTAGACACAGTGCTGCTTTGTGTATTTAAACCAAAGTATTGGACAAATTGAACTTTTGACCTGATGATGGCGCTATAGATGAAAAGTCGAGATCATCTCGAATATCTGGAGGTCTTCAATCAAATACATCAACCTCATTGTGGCGTTGTATAAAAAGTCCAAGTCATCTGTTCCTGGTGGACTTAAATCTGTCTTTCTCTAGTTTCCTTTAATTATTGAACACATCAAACTCTTCAGGAATCCTTAAATCCTTCATATGACTCAGTTTGAGTATTTAAAGCTCGTGGCCTCGCCCTGTGTGTGTAGGGATCACACAGACAGTTTGGTCCTTTTATCACATTATCCATAATGTTTATTGGTCTGATTCCCTTATTGATTCCTGATCTGTCTCTTTATTCTGATTCTGCATGAAAAACTGTCGATATTTACCCATCCAGCAGTTACGGAGGAACTTTATTCTTTATTTATTCGTCTTGTGTGTGTCCACATGATGAGTGTAAATCCAAACCTTCACTCTCTTTCTGCTCTTGTTTTTGGTCTCTGAGGGAAATCTCTGTCTCTTAAGCTTCTAAATGTTTCCACTTACGCTCTAACTGCGTCTGCAGGTAGGGTTGTTCTTTTTTTAGAGCTTCTTCTCTGCAAACAGCTGCCTGCTGCGGCTGAAAACAACCCTGTGAGAGCGGCGAGAGCGAGCCAGAGCGGTAAGGCCGCAGCCAGACAGCTGAAGCCGAGAGGAGCTGCAGGTTCGGATCACAACAACACTGCGACGCCCTCAACTGTTCATCATGAAAGGAGTTGTGCTGGAGGCAGGGAGAGGATAAGGCAGACAGAAAGTGGTGGGTGAGCAGAAAGGAGAGGGGGAGGAGGAGGAGGTCAGAGGTCAGACAGCGTGAGGCCAGCTGCTGATCAGGACTACGCCCTCCCGTCCCTGCAGGAAGGGCTGGAGCTCGGCCAGAGGCAGAGACAAAGAATGTCAGCAAACACCCGTCGCATTACGATTACCACAGTCTCATCTTTCATTACCATCTGGCTGCACGAGCACTGAGGAGGAGGAGGAGAAAGAGGAGGGAGGATGTGTGAGGAACCAGCATGGGATGTTTGGTGGAGAAGAAAAGGTTTCCAACGAGTCTTCAGAACATACAGACACTGAACTTTAAAGCAGTGCAGGTCATATTCCTGCAGGTTACACTCAGATTAAATTCACTTTCACTGGATGTTTCTCAATAAAGTGATCGAACAACGAGCAGGATTTAAGAAAATACTCCATTTACTCGAGTAAAAGTACTGAAGTATTATCAATAAAGTGTATTTAAAGTATCAAAATCTGCTGATGTCTAATTAAATGTTACAATATTAGAGTGTAAATAGTATTTTATGTTAGTCTAGTTTAGGTGGAGATAGATTTAACTACTTTATATCTAGTTCTTTATATCTGGTTCCCAACCTAAGGGTCAGGTTCCTTCCAATGTATCACAAGATGAATGTGAGGGGTCGTAATCAATTTTAGGACTAAATCTTGATGACTTTAATTCTTTAGGCTTCAAACTGTTATTTAAATGGAAACATCTCAGCAAAATCAATGTTTAGTGAATCTGCTCGTACAGATCTGACTCGTACCGGGTTTTTTTGTTAGGTGTCACAAGACAAAACATGTTTACTGGTTTAAACTAGCTGTCAAATAAATGTAATATAACATGGAAATACTCAAACACTGTAAACCAAGATGAGTTAATCTAACTTTAAAAAGTGTTGAAACTCAAAAAGTTAAAAAAACATTTTAAAAACAAGTATTTTTAGTCATTTTAAGTGACACGGACTTTATTTTTATTTGTAGTGTGAAAACAAAATACGTAGTAAAAAGTATTTAATCAGAAAATAAAGTTAAAAAGTTACAGTAAAATTACAAGTTAAAGCTCCTTCATCAAGAATCTTTTTTTAACTTAAAAAACTGAGTTTGTGTTACTTAAAATTTCCAATTTAAGTTAAAACAACTGAACACATCACAGTGAGAGTGAATTTCCACCACTGACGTCTATACCTCTCAGGAAGTAGCCGTTTCCGAGGGGGAAAGCGTTACTTGAAGGCATCGTACTGACTCAATATGTTCACATTCCCACAGTAGGAAGTTACTCAGTGTTTCCTGTCTTCAACAGAGAGGAAGATGAGCTGTTTTATCCAGTTAGTGGCTCGAAAGCAGCAGAATGTAACGTATATTGAACGCACCATTAAATGTAAATCTATTATATTATCCCGTATAGAAGGATATAGATGCTTTTTGGGTGATTTTAAACCATAAAACTTACAACACATTGTCTCATTCTGATCTCATTCCTGTTTGACACGAGGAGGAGGAAGAAGTCATCCTCGTCCTCCTCCCTGACCTGCTGACAGACACACACACACACACACACACACACACACACTCCCTCCTTCCTCTCAGACCCCTTTGTCTCTCTCACAGTGATGCATCCCAGACGAGCTCCAAGTTCACTGCGATGTTGTTCAGTGGGCCGTCGATGGGACTGAAGCACACTTCCCTCTCTGCTTTCAGTTAATGAGCTGCTTACATTAGCTAGATCATTTAAATTAGATTATTTGGGTGGTTTTCCTCTTTCTTAACTTAAATAAATCATCATAAGGCTGAATAAAGGCTCTGTCTTTTATTTCCATTATCTTTTTACATCCAGGATTTTAAAGTGAGGTGGAAAACTTCATTCATAATATTCTTTGCATGGTGAAAAATATCTCCACCACAGAGCTTCAACTAATGATAACTTTAATGTTCAGTTCATCTGTAAAATCTGTTGTTGTTATTATTTCTATTACCTGATTAATAATTGAGTTTGTAAAATGTCAGAAAATAGTCGAAAATGTTTTTTCTGTCTTATAACCAAACGTATTCAACTAACAGTGACAGAAAACAGAGAAAGGTAGCAAATATTTGGCATTTTGTTTGATAAATTGTGATTTTTTGTCATTTTCAGCACTATTGTACAGAATATTTAATGAAAACTAACTGATATTAAACAACAGCATTAAAAAAGAAGGAACATGGGGGTTTATGGGTAATATAAGAAGTCTGGGAGTAATTACTGTAAATATTTGGGCCTTTCCAGCAGAGACATAAGCTTTACATTGTTATTAGCCGGCCTGCATTAATACGAGCCTGATACGGCTCCACGCCTCCCCGGGGGGGCGCCATCATGCGCCTAATCCCATGATCTCAGGAGGCGGTGACGATGATGATGGTGATGGTGGGAGCTTATATAGAGGCGACGCACACCCACACAGGATAAAACAGATTGTCCTTGATCAGTCTCTTTAAAGTGTGCAGCTGTGGAGCGTCAGCTGATGGATAATTGCTTTAAGAGTTGGATTAGGTCGTATACAGAGGGTGGGGGGGGTGTGAGGCTCTTCAAGGGCAACATGTAACATATGATACTGAGCTGAGTGGTTATATGGTATTAAAACACATTGTTAGTATAGAATATTCAAGATTAGCAGCCAGCGGTACGAGGTTTGGAAAAATACATCAGGAAAGGCTCCAGGTCAGGATGTAACGTTAAAACTTTTATTTCACATTTTTCAGAATGTAAGAATGACTTTAGGTCAGTAACAATGATAAATTTAAATAAACATGTTATAAAATAAGTGTTATTCATTTCTTTTTTCATTAAATGGCTTTAATGGAGCAGGTTGGCTACCTTTCAGTTACACTGATTTATAAAGTACAATGTGGATTTAAATACTACCGTTAAAACTTCCAATAAAAGCCGGGTCCCTAATAGGCGCAGGTCTCTTTTAAAAGCCTGATGTGGCTACACGTTTTG